CATAGCGCCTGGCCTTCTTTCACTGACACCACCGTTTACGGGACACATCCTGACCATAGCAATCATCCCCCGCAATTTATTTTGGGTGCTGAAAAGGCAGAGATGTACCAAGATCCCTTCTTGGAACTGGAATAGACACGGAGCCTCTCTTTCTCACCAGCATTGCATCTTTGTTCCCAATTTCTTGCTGGCCCCAAATTCTTGAGAAAAACTGACGCTGGTTCTTTAGCCAGAGACCCGCGTCCTTGGCGAATGGCTACAAGAGCCTTTGGGTGGGGATGTGTCTGGCTCCCAACAGTACCAGTTGGTTCCAGGGCCATATTCTTAAAATAGAAAAATGACCAAGCGCAGCTCTGCCAGGGCTGCATTTGGTGTAATCCAGAGAATATGTTTTGAAGTGTCTGAAGGACTCAGCCACAGGAATCCCCAGGGCACCGGCCAAGACATCTGAGGGCCAAGGAGGGCCAAGCCCAGGACCGTCCGTCCTCACGGGGGGATTCCAGCGACTCGGACTGGGGCTGGGACGTGCCCGGGCAGGTCCGCGGAGCCCGGGGCAGGCTGTTTACATGGCAGCCGTGGCGGGGGAGGGCGGCGTGCTGGTCTGAATGGAGAGCGGCACCTGAGTGGGGGCACATGAGGACCCAGGTTTTGAAAAATGCCTTTTGATAAACATGTTTATTCATTAAACGACATGTCAATTTTTTTTAAAATACCTGGTGCTTGTATCATTTACATTAGGGTTTCTGATAGTTTGGAAATAGTTTATTACCCTTTAGGGATCTGTAGTCCTCGCGTAGGAAGTCGTGTGAGAACGAAAGAAGATTGACTTCGTGCAGCTGACTGCCAGGGGTTGTGCTGGGTGTGTGACTGCATGGGCAAAGGGCACGTGTGCGGCTTTGGAAATGTTGGTGGGCGAGTGAGCTTTTCCCAGATCTCTGCGGGGAATAATGTGTCTAGACCTGTTGTTTTGAACTGTGCACGTGTGCTCCAGCTCCCAGCACCTCCGGAAACGTGTTAAATGTTAGCCCGGCGAGCGCGCCTTTCGGTTACGCGCGTGTCCCAGCGCACGCCGTGTTTATGTGCGAGCCTCCGGCCTGGGTGCCTCACTCGTCGCATTTGCCAGGCAGGGGTTGGTAGAGGACCCTCAGTTCCGACCTTTTTGTCTTTAATTAACAACAATGCTTATGATCCTAGGAGACACTTACTTGCCGACCGTTGTCGGTGCCAGGCCCTGGCCTCGGGGCTTGCACATCTCCTGTCTTTCAATCCCCACGGCACCGTTACGAAGCAGACACTTGCAGGATTCTGATGACCGCGTGGGAAACGGCGCGAGAGGCGCAGTGACCGGTCCGCGTAGCAGATAGAGTGCAGGGGGAGCAGCGGGTTTGGGTGTTTGGAGCGTTTTAACAAAGCTCGCCACCACTCTGCATTTTAAGCTGATTACAGAAAAGGAAAGGCGACTTCTGAGGCGGTGTGGCGTGGGTGGCAGCGAGTCTCCTGGCCAGTTTTCATTCTGTCAGTCGCTTGGTGAAGCCACCGGAACTGTTCTCTGGAGCCCATGGTCATTCAAGAGGATTTGTTAAAGGACAGCTATTGCCCTTGCCTTCCTAGAGAACGGGGAGCCATCCGCTGCGCACGCCTCCTTTATGAGACTTACTTTTAAAATTTCAAACTCTTTATTTGGATATAATTTCAAACTAACAGAAAAGTTGCAACAGTATAGTATTAAAAATACCCATGTGCACCCAGGCCGGTGTGGCTCAATGGATAGAGCGTCGGCCTCAGGACCAAAGGGTTTGCTTCTGGACAAGGGCACGTATCCCGGTTGCAGGCTCCTCCCCGGCCGGGCCCCCGTTGAGGTGTGTGCAGGAGGCAACCAATCCATGTGTCTCTCTCTCATCGGCGTTTCTCCCTAAAAATCAATGGAAAAATATCCCCGGGTGAGGAGTAAAAAACACAAACAAAACAAAATACCCACATACCTTTTGTTCAAATTCACTTATTGTTACACTTCACTCTACTTCTTTTAACCTTTGTGCGACTCCCTTTGAGTATATGGGGGGGAAAACTATATAAAGCTTCATTTTTTCTTTCTG